CTTTTTTTTCATTCCCATAAGAAAAAGAAATGCTTACAACTAAAATAAACTCCCCAGATAACAAGGACCTTGGAATTCTGTCTTCCTAATATTTGTGTTTTTTTTTTTGTCTTCTTGAGACAGCGTCTCGCTATGCAGTTCGGGCTGGCCTTGAGCTCACTTTGTAGCCCAGGCTGGTCTTGAATTCACAATGATCCTCCTGTCTCAGCCTCCTGAGTGCTGGGATTACAGGCATGCACCACCACACTGGGCAACGTTTACATTAAAGATAGGAACCTAGACATTCTGATATATTTATAACCCAAAAGGTTACAGTAAGGATTTAGGGTCTTTAGATTTTCCAAGGAAACACCTACGGTGAAAGAAAGGGAGGAAAATAATCTTGTTGTCCTTTGTAAACAGAGACACTGGTCTTATATATTCCTACAAAGTGTAATATGAAATGACATTTCAGACACCGAAATAAAAAGAAACCAAAAAATATGACCAAGTAGGTTTTAAGAAGTAAAACATAATTCATACAAATAAAAATTATAATAACTAAAACCACATATTGCATAATGTGCTTTTTACAAGGTGCAAGGATAATATTAAATACATACATGCACACAAACGTACACACTCATTCAATGATAATGTTATTACTTTCTTTCCATAGTTCAGAAATGAAGAAGTCTCTGTTGGTAAGACTTACTCCTGGAACACCATCTCATTCCAATACCTATGGGTCTTTTAAGGGAGTAATTCTACTCTTCATTGCTTTTTTTTTTTTTTTGTCTTTTTGAGATAGGGTTTTGCTACGCACTTCAGGCTGGCCTTGAACTCACTTTGTAGCCGAGGCTGGTTTCCAACTCACAGCAATCCTCCTGCCTCAGCCTTCCAAGTGCTGGGATTACAGTTGTGAGCCCTCATGCCTAGCTCTTTGTTGCTTTTCGTTATGATCTCATGCTTGGTTATTCTCAAGCGTACAGGAATCCCCAGGAACCTGGGTTGAGATATTCCTCTGGAGAAGGTGTATATCCTTCTATCAGATATCAGCACACAATACTCATCCACAACTATTATGTTCATCTTTCAGATAGAGTTTTTCAGACTGTGTAAGGAAACCCTAAATGTGCATGAGGGTAGACCACGGCAATGAATTCTCCTCCCATGTAGTTGTTT